TGCCCTATCTAAGCATCCCATCCCAGACTCAAAAGCTTTTTTAGCACCTCGGGTAGTTCCCTCGTAAGTTTATTTTTCGTGCTCTATTGATACTTTGATTGTTATATTCATATTTTTGAAAATAAAGTATATATTTTGTTGTTTCTGCTACATATTTGTGTTTTTATTCTCTGTCGAGCTATAAAATATCGCTTTTTTATCTCATGTGTATCTTACCATGCACAACAGTCGTAGACCTCGAATTTATGAAGAAATTTATTTTCGTTTTTCTCATATATCATTATTTTTTTTGTAAAATATTGAAAAAAAGAAAAAGTTAAAGATTTGAAAAATTATAATACCCATATTGCAGAGTTAATTGAATATGAATTGTCATCTATTGCGCCTTCATATCGTATTATAAATTTATTTTCATCATAATACTGTTTATTTTGAAAATAATATTTGCCTTCAAACTGTAGATTATTTTGATTCCATTCTACTTGTATTGTCACTTTATGACCTAAATTTAGTTTTGGATTTCCTGTTCCAGCTTGGTACTGTTTTTCCAAACTCATTCGAAGAGTTCTTGGTGAATAAATACCAGTTATGACATAAGCACCTACATCATCTATTCCTCCTCCATGAACAACATAATCAGCTGTTGGATAGAATTCAAGTTTCATATTAAATGGTCCATTATATTTATCATATTGATAATAATAACTTGCAAATGTAGCCGATATAAAGACTGAATTGCTTATATCATATTCCATAACAGTTCCACCATTAATGTAAGCATTATTTGAATATAATGCTCGACCTCTCGAACGTGAAAGCTTGTCGTAATAAAACGTAGCTACACAGCGCAGTACGATACCTATAAAAGCGATCGTACCGATCCATACACATCCAACGATAACTGCAGGTGGCATGCTACTTGTACCTAGGTTGAAAAAAGTCAATTCATATGAAGATCTTTTCATCGCCTCTTAACGATCTAAATAATTTTGACATTAATCAAATATTACATGAGATTGACAATCGCTGGAGTGAAAATTCTCAATTTTTAATTTAGTTAAAATGATTACATTCAGATTCGTATGTGCACCATTTTATATACAAGTGAATTAATAAAAGTACGGAAAGATCTCGTTATCATGAAATCGATAACAATCATAGCTTGCATCTCCTAACTGCAAATATTTATCTGAGGATTGTTTTTATTTAATTTTTTAATATTTAATGAACTACGCAGAATAACTAAAGTAATAGTCAGAGGTCTCAATTCACTACTCGTTGCTAAATAGAAAAAGACATATTCAGCATAGATAAGAACGACGAAAGTTCATATCAAACATTATGGCCAAAATTTTACACATTTATTGGTGCAGAAAGATAAAATAATTTATCTTTACTTATAATTAACAGTTTTGTGTCCTTGTGTTATTAGAATGTCTTAGGGTATGCTGTTTTTGTCTCTAATATGATGCATGTGAGAAATATT